GGGCTGCCCAACCTGCATGGCGACACTCAAGGGACAAGTGAGCACAGCTCAACCATTTGCAGGACAATGCGTTTCTTTCCAGAACTCACCTGGTGAGCGGCAAAGTCCCCCAGCTTTGATAGACGGGGCTGTCGGTGGCCCTTGCTTGGGATGATCCTGCAAGAAGCAGGCTGCGCTTAGAGAGCAGCCCCGCAGCAGAAAGGGCCACCGGCAAGCTGCCACCCGGCACCAGCAGCCTGAGCGCGGCAGAGCTGGGACCCTCTGCCCTCCTGGGCTCTCTGCCCCACACGGCAGGTTTCCCCCCAGCGCCGCCAGCGAGGATGTGCTGGCATTCCTGGTGGCTCCCCAACCCTCTACGCTCCCCGAGTGGCACCGTGGGACCACTCTTCCCTCCATCCCTCCCACACAACCTCACCCCACTGGCCAACGTATAATTTGCAGACTTAGTAACTTTCTAATTTCATTACTTTGCATTATATTCTGAGCTTAATTGTGAACTAATCAAAACAATCAAGTTGAGAGCAGGAAGTTTCTTGTTATAGGCAAAACCATAGTTGTAGTCTAAAGTACACAGGTCTAATAACATTCATACTTGCATTTACCTTTGCAATTTGTCATTATTGGAAAGTATTTTATGTGTATTAATGTATCTCAAAAAATAGTTTAAAGTTGGTTTCAGTTATTAATGAATTTCCTTTTTGTTTTTTCTTCCCTTCCTTCCTCCCCCTCCTTCTTTCTTCTTACTTTGGAAGGTGGCTAACGGAAAGATCCAAAACCTTGAAGCAACAGTAGAGCTTTTATTGACCAATGAAGGCAAACTGAAGCAGTCCATTCTCACTCTTGAGCAGGAGCGAGCTTCTTTGCTGAAAGCAGTAGAAGAGATGCAGAAAAAGATTGGTGGTACAGATGGGAAGCCTCTACTTACTAGACAGGAACACATGGATGCTTTCTGATGTTCACGGTTGTAATGGAGCAGACAAGCTGAGCAAGAAACAAAGGGAAGAACTGGGTCTTTTTGTCATGATCCATGGGGATTTGACATTGTCACCTTCATTGTACATGCCTTACTGTAGCAAAGCAAGATACGAGCATGGTGGCTTCCCGTATCAGAGAAGCTGGTTTCTTGGGGAGAAGGCTCGCTCTTCTTAGTATGTAGAAATACTTTGAACAGTAAGATGCCACATAATAATAAGCAGGAGAAACTTAATAGTGTGTGCAGTCATACACAATACACTGTAAAGATGTCACGGATTCTTCCATAAGTGCTTCTAAACCTAAGTGCTTTGTGTTCATCACGTATTTTGTTTGTGTGTAGATCACCACCATGTTAAATAGCACATCCTTTAGAAGGTCCTTTGAAGAAATACGGCAGTGTAAAACCTTTGAATGGATGACTGCCCCATTGCAGCTATGCAGTGGTAACATTTACAGAGAGTTTTGTGATTGGACTGGAGATATTCTTGACAGTGTAATTCCCCTACAGCTTGACTGGGTTCTGTTAATTATGTTGTTTACACTTCAGAAAACTGCTTCCTGATGCTTGAAGGTGTCAATCCATTGGACTCCAGAGAGATGGACTTCATCATCTGTAACTATGCATAATTGGGGGGTTGCCATCTGTTTTTATAAGTACATTGTTTTAGTACATTTTTTGTTTAACAACCATTAATGTAGTGTATTGTTAGTTGGCATTATCTGATAAACATACTGTATATAGTAACTGTATTATGCTTAACAAAATACACTGACATTAATTTGGTGAAGCCTGTGACTCTTCCAACATCGTCCAAGGATTTATATTCAGACTTTTCAAGTTTCATCTTATTTATTTCTGATCTGCTGTGTGATGTAAGACATCCTTTTGCTGGGAACCTAATGCCCACTGTTATTTTTTTTTTTCCCTTTATTTGGTACTCTGTGCCCACACATCCTCTGGGAAATGTTATTCTTTAAGACTTTTTCTGAAGTAGTGGAGGCATTTCAATAGCTTCATGTTGTGCCAGGTATGCTTAAACTGTTTTATAAAGGGTATGGCAGTTTGAATTAGAACACCATTCTTTTTACAATGCATCTTTCACGTAAGATTATACATGTTAAAAAAAAAAATCTCACTTTTCTTAATACAATGAAAGTAGTTTTCAGGCTGGTTAAAGCACCACTGCTACAAGTGCAGTAATAGCCATGGATATTCAGTTGTTTGGGTTTGCTTCAGAATTAGGAATAGTGCCATAGTTTTGTTCAGTCCCCAAGCATAGAATTAATAGGCATCAGTGTTTTGTTATGGTGGAGATTCACCCAGGAGATGTGATTTTTATTTTGTTTTTTTTCTTAAATTGATGGGTTTATTTTTAAAATTTCAAAGCACACAGTTTTTTCTCTTACTGGCAATGTAGAAAAGGTTTTGTTTTGCTTTTTCCTTTTCTCATGCAAATCCACCTGACACATTGTGGTTGTAATTTAATAGGAGAGCTGTAACATTCATCTAATGTGCAGAAAAAATACCTCTAATGTAGGTCAAAAAGAAAAAGATAATTTACTCTTCAATTTTTAGAAGCTTTGTTTGACTCTGTCATGTCTTAAATGTGTCTGGTTCTTGCAAATCCACTCTATATTCACTTAGTATTGAAATTTCAGATAAATCAGTTATTATTAATCCATTTACCCTCAGGCTTGTTCTTTTTATTTGGAAATCCATATTGAAGCTCATGCTTCATGTTTAAAATCTTGTCATAATGGACCTCATACTGTTAGAGCACTCAGTAATGTTGCATTTTTACAGCATAATGCCATAATTCATACACTGACATTTTAACAAGAGCAATAAAGATAATAATAATCTATGCCTACATCTATGTTTGTACATTTTTTGACATTTAAAAACAAAAACATAGTTGGTGGGGTGACAGTTCAGAGCTGTGTAAAATGAGACTCCCTGAAAGTACAGTACCATCTACAGTGGTTATGAATGAAAACTCTTAGTCCTCAGACTCTTCTAAACATGCTAAGGCTCCAGTTGTGATCTTGGGACCTGCATCTGCATACATTGACTAAGGTGAAGTACTTCCATGTGACTCCAGGGATGCATTCCTTTTTGTGATGTTTTGCTTCTCTGCTAGTGTAAGTGGAGGACTACTTCTAGTCCAAAGCCTTTTATTGAGAATTTGTGTAATTCCAGAAGTAAGTGCACTTAGATGAGAACTAAAGTCAGTGTTTTCAGAATGCATAAATGTGGTAAATAGATAACAAGCGACTTTTTGCTTTTGTGACTATATAAATGTAACTGTTTCATTGTACCAGGGAGTCAAATTTTCTGTGGATACAAATGAAATTTCTATTTGTACATATGCAAATTAATACAATTTTCTTAAATATATAAATGCCTGGCAAAGTGAGAGATCATGCCACCCACTGGTCCAGGGTCTGAACATGAAAGAAATAGTTGATTTAAGTCTTTCTGCTGGTTACACTGAAGCAGATCTATGGTATGTTGCTTCTGTATGTCTTTCCCCATCCTGTGCTGATTTTTGTCACCAGGCCTCTCTGGTTCAAGAGGCCAAAGTGGAAGAGTGTGGAGGAAGGTAATATCACTTACCAGTTCCCAACTTTGGCAAAGCTTGGGGCTTTTCCCTTTAAAAGTATGAGAATGAAGTAATAGAGCCCAGAGCTAGGCCCAGATACTTGCATCCTTCTCCAACTACACTCTGTAGCTGAGCATCCTTAAGGATGTGTAAAATTAGATCTCCTGTTGTCTGAGTACCAGCAATTGTCATCAGATACTGTCTTCTATATGAACAGTAATTTCTGATTCAGAGAATGTTCTAAAAAAACCCTGCAAATCCATACACTGGCCCTCAGCAGGAATCCCGAACGAGCTAGTCCTGGCAAATCCAAGTTGAAGTAATCAACATTTTCCCCATCTCACTTCTACAGATGAATATCCCCAGGAGTGATGCTTAATTTCTGAAGAAAAGAAAAAACAGTGAAAAAGGAAGGAAGGAGTTCACTTGTATGCGCAACCTAGGCTTCCAAATGTGCATGACAAAAGCAGCGAAGTGTGCAGTGTGAGTGTGCTAGTGAACGACATCAAGGCAGTAGTCCAGAGACAGGTTAGCCTGAAATGTGGAAAGAACTAATGTTGGCATACACAACAAAGAAGGCAGCAGCTCCTCTGAAACCATAGCAGTGAACAGCACTGGAGGATCTGCTGTGGTGTGCTGCAGTCACCCGGTTCTGGTTTGTTTTTTTCCAACTAGCACAGCTTCTGGCTATTTGATGTACTTTTATATTTTGCCCAGTTGTCTGTTTCCAGAGATCATTACTTAATACAGAACCTGAGAATGATGATGCAGTACCTATCATGTGGGAAAGTCAAAGCACTTTCACAAAGGCACATGTAACAGGTCTTCCCTTGTTTAGAGTGAGAACTGAGTCACAAAGAAGTTCAATGACTCGCACCAAATATTTCAGTTTCTCACTGGTTGCTGCGCTGAAATCCAGATCTTCTAAGTTGTGGTCAAATTGTCTTGCTGGTTGTCTAAAAGATTGTTCCAGAAGGTCTGTAACAGGTACTCAGTAGTCATGCAATGATCTGCCGAAACAATGTAAAATGGGAAGCGCAGTCGCTGAAACCTTGTCCTTTCCTGACAGCTATACCTACCTCCCAACAGTAACCTTCTCAGTCCTGCTGAAACACATTGTCTTCTTTCCAGGTACCTCCTCTGCAGGTACCTGGTACCTTCCCCCTCTTGCTTGATAGGTTGGAGTAGGTGCACTGCCAGCAATCCTGAGTAGCAAGGATTGTAGTATGGCATCACCAGTCAACCAATATTCTCAGGATTTTTTTCAAACATAGTAATCTTTGATAAGAGTTGCCATTACTGAGAGCAAAGTCATGAAACTGCAACTAGTAGGCCTCTGAATGAAGGACAGTAATCTACACAGCAAAGAGGACAATGTAGCTAGCACTTTTTCTCCTTTGCGATCTTCCTCCACCATTCAGTGGAGCAAGAAGCTGAATCGTCTTCTTGACTTCAAGTCCACCGCAATAGCTGCTGCAATTCCACCATAATAAAACAGCCTGGTATGTCAACATGGCAGAGCTCACTTGCTAGCCAAGTCAGCTGTGATAGTGTCAGTACCCTCTGTGCATTCCCCTTTCTCTGGGGGTTTGGCTGCTTAATTAGACAATGCAACCTAGATAATGCAGACATCTAGCCCTGAGGCACCTCTGGCCTCCAGTGGTTTCTGGCCACAATGGCTGCTGGCCTTGCAGCTATCCAACAAAAAGCTGGAAGAAGCCAGGTGCTTCCCACCCTGCCGCCATCTCTTGGGAGCTGTGTTTAAGCTGAGGCTCTTGTGCTTTGTCCCTGCATGAGGTAAGTTGCAGCCACACTTGCGTCTGGCCTTGTACCCTTGTTGATCCTGATCTAGGACTTTGCTTCCTGGCTTGGCATCAGACCTGTCTCACCACCACGCCCTTGTCTGGTGACCTGGACTGTTGACCTGCCTTGCTTGTCCTTTTGGGGTATTGTGGAACAGCCCCTTTGTCATTCAGCTGCCCCCCTTTCCTGCCTGCATGTCACCCTCAGCTCCTGGCTCACTTTCCCCTTCAGAGCAGCGCCTGCCCTTGCTGCTCCCAAACACACAGCCCCATAGCACAGCTCAAGTTACATGTCTATATTGCTTCTGATTCCACTGCTGGGCTGGCCAGAGCTTGTTTAGGTGTCTCTGCATGCCACTGCTCTTCATTTAGCACGCAAGCTAGTTCTTTTAGAACTTGCTTAGGGACCTCCAACACAATGGTCACACTGTGTAAAAGGGCCCTTACTAGTCTTTCATCTATTTCAAAGTACTGTGATCAAGTTCTTTTCCACTTCAAACAGTGCACCATATTTGCATACTATGTTGAGGACACCAAAAAAGTGCCTAAAATGAAAAGAATACATTTTGACTACAGCTGGATGAATGCCATGATTGCTTGAGGCACCTTAGATCATTGCACAGTATTTATACTGTGTCACACCCTGTGATGTGAAGTAATTTTTCTTTAACAGAGGTTTATTAGAACAGGTACGTGGGAGGGAGAACACTGGCAGCCAAGCTAACCATCAGGATTGCAACCCAGGCATTGCCTTTGGAAGGCACACGTGTGGCTTACACCCACCAAGTTTTATATAACCTAAATTAGGGTGAATCACTGGGTACTCATTTGCTCTTGCAGCTTCCAGACAGTGTTCCTTTCATCTAAACAAACCTGAGGCTGCAAGAATTCAGTGCCTCAAACTAGGCCTTTTCAGCATAACCCAAAGCAAATCAGTAAGTACTTCATTATATAGAAGACTCTACTTAGTATAAATAGATTTTTTTCTTCTGTCTAACTATATCATATATTTCCATGGTGTTAGAAAAGCTTTGGGGCTATAGATGCTAAAGGATGATGAAACTCCTCTTACAGAGAGAACAGAGATGATTAAAAGAGAGGTTCTGGAGGAGCTTGTACTAGCTCCCTGTCCCCAACTTTTCTCATGCAACATTTCAGAACCCCAAAGATTTTAGGGAATTTTCCTGACATTTCTAAAGTGTTATATTTCACAAGTAGAAATCGCTGCTACAGAAAGAGATGAAATCAGGATTCTGCTTTTGGTTAGGAGTAAAATGACCAACAAAGATGTTCTGACAATGGTCATATTGGTCCTAGTCTCAACTGGATGCCTACTTCTTTCTGTCGCTGTCTAGCA